TAGGGAAAGGAGGTTTCGGAAGAAATGCTGCCCACATGCACATATTTATTAAACAAAAGGCTATTAGTAAGCAAGCGCAACTCCTCTGCATCCTGTTCTGGAGGCTGGATGACGTCCCAGCTTTCAGGCCTCTCAGCACCATGACTGTGATCAGCAGAGACACTGATCAGCCTTACAGGTGTGGGATTCTGTTAGCCTTGTCGAATCCGTTTCAACAAATAGAGCCCTCTGCGTTTATAATGGACACGTGACCACACAGGGATTCAGGGTAGGGAGCTGTAGCAGACACCACTGGTGCCCTGCCCAAAACCCCTTATAATTTCTATGATGAATGCTGATGAACTTCCAGCATCTCTTTATTGATGGGCTGCTCTTGAGATGCCAGAACGCACTTTGCCCAGCCACGGCTGGCCGGAAGTGCCTGGGAATTCACCAGTGGTGGAGGTATAAATACCACAGCTCTCTTGCTTCTTGGCTGGGAGGATTCAGAAATGTATGCTTTAGGATCATTGCCAGAGCTTTCCCACAGAGAGTTAAGCTTTAGTTTCCCGCTGTGGTGACTGGCTTCATAATGCATCCCTCGTTAGCTCCCTTCCACCCCCTGTCAGTTCCCTGCATCTCTCCAATAAATTACAAGCATTCAACTCATCTCAGAGTCTGCTTCAGAGGGAACCCGACAGAGACAGTAGCCATCCTGAGGGTAGAGGCTCTGAGGCTCTCTAGATTCTTTATCCAGTTCAAGCAAGAGTGGGAGTGTCTATAGCATATTCTGGCCAATCCACATATCTTGAGTACCACTAATTTCACCAAAAGAGAACCCATTTCTAACATTTGTTATGCTAATTAACAAGCTCTCTTGAGCAAGGTATCAAATTACAGAAGTGCTTCCGGTAGTTGCCTCTAGGAAGTGGGCTTCTTATTTTCTGGGATCTAGTGGACTGCCCCTGGATTGGTAATTGACCACATCTACTGTGTAACTTAACCCAAACACACATGTATGGTGTCTAACTGTCTAAGAGGAAGCTTTAAAGGAAACTGAAGACATTACCACAGTGTCTGCAGATCATGCCCCCAGGCAATCTTGGAAGTACAAACGACCCATCTTCTGGAACACACTTCCCTATGTTAGTCAACATCGTGCCCCTGAGGGAGACTCCAGGTCCCCCCGTTGGCAGTTGGTGAATTTGGCCTCATGTCCTATTGGATGTTGCTTTGGTTCTAAAAATCTTTGTGGTCTGAGACAGCCTTGTCATGAGGTAAAGCGATAGTTAATTTCATGTGCCAGATTTGTGGTTTCCCTACTGTGGGTCCACGTGAGCCCTATAATTCACACTTTTCCAAATGACAGAAAGGAAGTTGCTGGGATTCAGACAGTTGAAATGGGATTTGCCTCAGCTGAAGGGGAGGAAAGAATCACCTTACACTCCTGGTGTTATTTGTAAACCTAAGAAACCCAGCACCTTCTAAGTGTCTAAAAGAGCCCAGTGAGATGCTGTTTCCTCTTTTTTTCTGAGTACTCAGTGTGCTTGGTGCCTTTCGTTGCCTGAGTGAAGTAAGTAGGGGTTTATTTCTGTAAATCCCCAATTTACCGAGGCTGTAGACCACCTTCCAACATCATCCTTGGAGAAATTTGGTAAGAAGAATTTGCTATTAAATTGAAATTGAGCGAAGTTATTAGGTACTTGAATGTTCATTCACCTTGTACCTGGTTATACTAACGCTCTCCCTACCTCCTCTCCCACTGGGGACAGAAATAACACCCCCAAGTTTCCCAAATAAAATTCACTCTACACAGCTTGTGTCATCCTTCACCCAGAGAAGTCTTTCGTCTTGGCTCAGATCATTTGTAAAGATGAGCCACCTTCATGAATATGGAGATTTTAATGTCTAGAATCTAAAGATATTTCTCTAGTGGATGTATTTGAGAAATTGAGTCCAAAGAAGATATACATATGACCAGTAAGCATTTTTAAACATTTAACTCTTGTCATCAAAGTAATGCAAGTTTTAACTACCACAAGATGCCATTTTCAAGATGAGTAAAATGGTACTATCCCGTGTTGATGAGGATGCAGTGAAGTGGGCACCCTCAGGCACAGTAAATGGATATGATCTTGCTGGAGGGCAGGTGAGCAATTTAGACAAGAATCTTTTAGATGGTCACAACATTACTCCTATAAATTCATTTCGAGGAGATAGAGATGAACACAAAGATGAAAGGGTAAGAACAGTGTTTCTCAGAGTGTCCAGAAAATGACCCTGTAAGGTGCCCAGAGGCAAAGGGGCTTTCTGGCCAGGTCAGTTTGGGCAAGGCTGCATCCTGTAGAATGTTCTTGAAGATTCCAAAGGCATATTGGCATACCAAAGACTCTAAAAAAACCTGCAAGTAAGGAAATCTCCTTGACTTTTTTCAATATACTGGTTTCTACATTTAAATGCCAATAAGACCCTTGTTTATAATAATATCTACATTTCCCCAACATTTTGTTATAAGCATTTTCAAACTCACAGAAAAGTTGAAAAAATTATGACGTAAGCACCCATTTACTCACCGTCTAGGTTCTACAATTAACAGTATATTATGTTACTGTTTTATATTTGATGACATATCATTTCCATACCGTAGATCAGTTTGGACTGTTCTAGAACCTCATATAAGTGGAATCCTACAGTATATTCTCTCTTGTATGAGGCTTTTTTGACTCTGTAGTGTTTTTGAGATTCATCCATGTTGTTCTTTTATTCAGTAGTTTATTCCTTTTTTTTTTGTTTTTTTTTTGTTTGTTTTTTTGCTGTACCCGGGCCTCTCTCTGTTGTGGCCTCTCCCGTTGCGGAGCACAGGCTCCGGACGCGCAGGCCCAGCGGCCATGGCTCACGGGCCCAGCCGCTCCACGGCATGTGGGATCTTCCCGGACCGGGGCACGAACCCGTGTCCCCTGCATCGGCGGGCGGACTCTCAACCACTGCGCCACCAGGGAAGCCCAGTTTATTCCTTTTTATTGCTGAATAATATTCCCTTGTATGAAATATACTACCGTTTGTTTATCCATGCTTCTGTTGATGGACGCCTGCGCTTTTCCCAATTTTTAGCTATTATAAACAGAGCTTCTATGAACCTCTTCTGCAGGTCTTTCCATGGCCATGTGCTTTCATTTCTCTTGGGTATGTAGGAGTGTAATTCCTGGGTCATAGAGTTGGTCTATGTGAGTTCTAGGAGAGACTGCCAGACCTTTTCCCAAAGTGTACAGTTTGACGTTCCCACTCCCACCAACCAGATGTGGAGTTACCCCACCTCCTCATCAACACGGTGTTGTCAGCCCTTCTTATTTTAGCCACTCTGGTGGTTGATAGTGATGACCTGTGTTCGTTTTTTTTTTTTTTTTTTTTTTTTTTTTTTTGCGGCGTTATTGGCGTATAGTTGATTTACAGTGTTGTGTTAGTTTCTGTGGTACAGCAAAGTGAACCCATGCCCTAACACGCACACTAACCCTCAACCGATATCGTACACTAACCCGTACTCTAAACCGTCCCCATTATCTAACCTAACCCTAACCAGAACCCTACACCTAACACTTACCCGAAGCCTTAACCTAAACCGTGCCCTAATACTACCCCGTACGCTAACATTAACCCATGTCCTAACACGTACACTAACCCTAAAACCTTGTCGTACCCCAACCTGTACCCTAAAGCATCCCCGTTCTCTAACCCTAACCCTAACGCTAACCCTAACACTAACGCTTACCCAAGGCCATAATCTAAAATGTGCCCTAATCCTACCCGTACGCTAACACTAAACCATGCCCTAACTTGTACGCTATCCCTCAACCGTACTCCTACCCTAACCTTTACCCTAAACCGTCCCCATTCCCTAACCTTAGCCCTAAACCTAACAGTAACCCTTACCTGAAGCCTTACCCTAACACGTACCCTAAGCATAACCCGTACGCTAACACTAACCCTTGCCCTAACACGTACGGTAACCCTCATCCGTTGCCGAAGCCTAATCTGTGCCCTAAACAGTCCCCATTCCCTAACCCTAACCCTAACCCTTACCCGAAGGCATACCCTAACCTGTGCCCTACCCGTGTCCCCTGCATCGGCAGGCGGACTCTCAACCACTGCGCCACCAGGGAAGCCCGACTTGTGGTTTTAAATTGAATTTCCTCATTGAGCATTTAAAAAATATGCTTATCGGCCATTCAGATATCTTCCTTTGTGAAGTGTCTGGTCATACTTTTTTAAAACCCATTTTTTATTGGGTTGTAGTAATATTTATTTTAATTATTATTTATAGCATACATACATAGGAGCATAAAAATATGTAGAGTTTAAAGAACACTAGTAAAAAAGAACCCACAACCCAAAGAGTAAGAACATTACTGTTACCTTATCCCAGAAGCCTCTTCTGTGTCTTTTCTGATTATACATACTCACTTCCTTCCCATCAGAGTTGACTGTGCTTCTGAATTTTGTATTAAATCACACCTGTGTTTTCTGTATAGATTTTACCATCCTCATGTGTATCCTTAAGTAGTACATCATTCGGTTTTACATTTTATATTCTGTAATTTGTTTCTTTTGCTCCATATCAGGCTTTTATATTCACCCATATTGACACAAAGAGCCATCGTTCATTTACATGACTCTGTAATACTGCATTGTGTGACTGTACCATAACTCAAGTATCCATCCTACTGTTAGTGAATTCTGAATTTTCAGATTTTTTTGCTATGATATGAACAATGCTGCTATAAATATTTTTGTAACATCTTTTAATATCCTGTGAAACTCGTAATCTGTAATGTACACTTTGGAAAATACTATATTATGCCATGTTTGTTGATGGTTAATTACACTAGTAGAAAGTTGAAAACAACCTAAATGTTTAAAAATGAAGGGTTAGTTAGGTTTATGAGACATGCGTACAGTAGAACATTATGTAGGTTTTAAATTTATGTTTTCTGTATTTATAATGATTATCAATTGTTAGTTACAATGCTGAAAAATGAGTAACAATTTAAGTGTTCAACAATAAAGGATTGGCTAAGTTTATGAGGCATGCCTTGGAATGCTGTGTAGAAATTAACATTTATGCTTTTGTTATATTTAAGCCCATTATGGATGCAAGTACAAATGGCAATATATAATACTATATAGAGAGTATGATAAATAATTTTGTAAAATGATAAATAAAAGGCCTGTGTGGAAAAAACAAAGAATAGAAGCAAATGCTCCAAAATGGTAATAGTAATTAGCTTGTGGTGGAAGGATTCCAGATTGTTTTTATTTTATTTCATTTCTCGATGCTTTTTTGTATTTTCAGATTTTTCTGTAGTGACTGTGTATAACTTGTACAGTGAGAAAAAGCAACAAAGGTTATTTTAGAAAAAGAGCTTTGAGTCTCCAAGTACTGCTTTTATCAGAGTTCTTTTGAATTGCGGACATATAAGTTCATTTTTTTTTTTTTTTCCTCTCTGGCAATTGCAGGAATTTGAAATTAGAAATCTTGTTTGAGAATAACCTAACATGCCCTGAATTAATGTGGAGGCCTAGTTTCAAATGAGGCCAGAGTTCTCTGGAGGCTGGAAGACATCACCATTTCAACGTTTCCTTCTCCAGCCTGAAACTGTTCTTTCCAGATGTTTATATTTTCAAAACCCTTTTCTCCTCGCTCCCTCCCTCCTCCAGCCATAGCAGGGTTTCTTGAGACGTTGGTGATAGGGAGGTATGTGTGATGTTTAAAGTATACGTCATGGGTCCACTTAGCCATGGAAGGCTTCACAGTCAGGAGACAGCCTGCTGATTGCCCAGGTGATTGCAGAGTTGATGCAAGATGCCCTGTAAACATGGCCTGTCTTTTTCTGAAAGATGGTAAAGATGCAGCGGGTGCCAGGACCCAAGGACCCCGCGGAGCTGACTTACTACACCCTGTACAATGGGAAGCCTTTGCTGGGGACAGCAGCTGCCAAGATCCTGAGCACCATTGACTCCCAAAGGATGGCCTTGACCCTGCATCACGTTGTCCTTCTGCAAGCTGACCGTAAGGGGATAACCTTTCCATTCATTCATTTTTAAATTTTTAATAAATTTTTTATTTATTCCCTGCATCACGTTGTCCTTCTGCAAGCTGACCGTAAGGGGATAACCTTTCCATTCATTCATTTTTAAATTTTTAATAAATTTATTTATTTATTTTTGGCTGTGTTGGGTCTTCGTTGCTGCGTGCGGGCTTTCTCTAGTTGTGGCGAGTGGGGGCTACTCTTTGTTGCGGTGTGCGGGCTTCTCGTGGTGGTGGCTTCTCGTGGTGGTGGCTTCTCTTGTTGTGGAGCACGGGCTGTAGGCGCGCGGGCTTCAGTAGTTGTGGCTCGCAGGCTCTAGAGTTCAGGCTGTGTTGTGGTGCATGGGCTTAGTTGCCCTGTGGCATGTAGGATCTTCCTGGACCAGGGCTTGAAGCTGTGTCCCCTGCACTGGCAGGCGGATTCTTAACCACTGCGCCACCAGGGAAGTCCCATCATTCGTTATTTTCAATACCAGTAAATGTTTCCTGAATCACTTGGATGTTATTAGACCCAGAGCTAAACATACTTCTGTTCTAGAAGGTTCTCAAATCAACCAGTTGTTTCCTGTGTTGTTTGAAGCAATAGGTTTTGGGTAAGGGATATGTTTTGGCTACTAGGATGATGATAATACTGCTTTTCCCCAGGTCCTATCCTCTCTTCCTCCTCAGTATAATCTTGTGAACAGTTAGAAAAATCACCACAGCTGAGATGGTATTTGTCTGCTGGGGAATTAAAGGTAATTTCATTCAATAAGCTTTGTAGAGTCCTGCATGAACTGTGTGTTCAGTGCTGGAGGACATATAGAAGTGGGCAAGTCCCAATCACTGCCTTTAAGGAGGAGAGAAGGCGTTAATGCAGTTATAAAGGCATAGAATGCAGGAATGCTTTGAGGAGACAGTGTGATTGATACAGGGCTCAACCGAGGGACAGATTGCTCTGAAGGGGCATCCGGGAAGGATGAACAGAGAAAGGGTATGAAACATAACAGCTGCCTCTTTGAGGACCCTCCCCTGGCAGCTACTATGCTTGTTGCTTTACATAGATTTTCTCAATTTCTCTGGGGCAACTTTATTCAGCTCCAAATTACAGATGAGGAAACCTAGGCTCAGAAAAGTTAACTAACTTGCACAACATCACAGAACTAGGACTTGAGTTGCTAAGATATGAATCTGGATCTGTTTGACTTCAAAAGTGTGTTCTTAACTGTATTGCATGCTACAGTTTCAGCAGAGGGAGAGGAGGAGGTACTGTCCAGAAAGAGGGAGCAGCAGAAGCAATAGAAGGGAGGTGAAAAGTACCAAGGGTGCTTGAAAAAAAGCAAGTTGCCTGGAGTGCAGAAGCATGAGGAGGAGGTGATGGGATTAGAAACGAGCATTGCTTAGGAGACTCAGGCGTTGGATGGCAGGGGAAGGAGATTGTACATGATGTGATTGGCTCTGGGGAGCTATTGGACATTTCTGAGCAGGGCAGTAGAATCACCGGAAGTACCCATTATCTAGGGAGGTTAATCTGTCGTCAGTGTCCATGATGAGAGGGGGCAGGACTAATGAGACTCTCTGGTGACCCAGGCGTTGGGGCCCCAAAAAAGGGCTGTGAAGGCAGCAAGGGGAGAGGGGGTTGATGACGATGAGAGATTGTGTGGTAGAAATATTAGATTGGACAGCACACCAAGCATACAGGGCCTGGAAGGTCATCTCCCGTTGATCTCCTAGCTGGTGTCCGTGTTCCTTAGGAACCTGACGCCTGGCTCAGGGTTTGCCTCTCCTCTTCGTCTCCTGCCTTCGTCCGCGGTAGGCGTGGCTTCCACGGGGATGGTGCAGCCCACATGTGGTTACGGCCCTCACTTCTGCTCGGCCAGCACATCCTCAAAGACACACCTTTGCCTGGAAATGATGGTCACCCTCTACAATCTTGTCTTTGAACTGACTTTTTAACCGAGATTCTCTTCCTTGGCACCTCTCTCCTTCCCTCCCTGTGGGCTCTGCCCCATCTCTGGTCAGGTCAGTTACTAGCTTCATCAGTTTTACTGCATCTTCTTTATGTGGGCTCCCCAGGGCTCCATTCTCAGCTCTTTCTCCGTCTCTCCAGGTAGAGAATGAATTTTAGAGGACTGGAGTGAAAACCATCGTAGCTGCTGCCCAGGTGAGAGGGGAATGTGTCCGAGGTGGAGACTCAGAGAAGTGGTTGGATTCGGGATATTTTTGGAGACAGAGCTGTTGGGGCAAAGGTAATGGATTGTGTGCGTGGCAGGAGGAGGTGAGGGCTGGAGGACTCAAGGGTGAGATGCAGAGAGGAGGAGGTTTAGTGGGGCTGCAGCGGCGCTGGGGGAGACGGAGTTGAGGGTTTGCTTTTGGACATGTGAGCTTACACATTCAGGGAGAGCTCAGGAGATAGGAACTCGGCAGTCATCCACACAGGTGACATTTAGAGCTAAGGGAGTAGGTAAGATTAACCAGATTTGCCTTGATTTAGAACTAAAGAGAAGAGGGTGAAAATTCAGGCCCAGGGCATCCACATGAGGGAAGAACCGGAGCCAGCACAGGACCCTGGGAAGGAGCATCTGGGGAAATGGAGGAGGTGGTGTCTAGAAATAAGTGAAGAAAGTGAATGTCCTGGGAGGGAGGGAGCTGCTGCGTCATCTTCTGTTCTGGAAGGATGGAGATGAAGTGAATTTGGTAAACTGAAGTTTGGTGGTGACCTTGGCAGGAGGGGTTTCCAGAAAGAGGTGGTGGAGACAGCTTGGCTGGAGTGGACCCAGGAGAGGGTGGAGGTGGGGAAGCAGTGACAGCAAAGGGAGCAGATTAATGGGACAGTTGCTGGAGGGGCATATGGGAGATATCGGGGTACGTTTGAATATTATGGGTGACTAATAGCAAGGGAGAAATTGACGATGCAGAAGAGAGCCGAACACTGCAGGGGTGAAGTCCCTATGTGCTCGAGGGGGTGGCACAGGTGGAGGGTTCAGACTCAGCGAGGAGCAGGGATGGCTCAATCTTTTGCACCAGGAAGGAAGGCAGAGTACAGGGGTGTGGGTGTCGGTCAGGGGGTACATTTGGTAATGGAAGCCTAGGGTGTTTCTGTGGTTGTTTCTGCTCTCTGGGGGTATAATGAAGTTGGCAGCCGAGGTTGAGATTGTGTGTGGGGCATTTGAGCAAGGGTGCAGTAGCACACACTGAGCCTCAGCAAACCGATGAGAGAGACACCGTGAGATTGGCAAGGCTCCCCTCCTCCTGGGTCCTCATTGCTATGTTCAGACCATTTCTTCTATTCTTTCAAAATTCCAGATGCTTTGAACTGCCCCTTCCTCACTGTAGTCACCTCTAGAGCCCAAGCTGGCCCCCATCATCCTGGTTCATTGTCTCTTCCTCTGCATCGCTTCTCCTGTCCCAACCCATCCTCTACTTTGAGGTCAGCTCCCTGACCTCCTCACATCTACTCTAGGCCTTGTGGTACTTGGGAAGGGGCAGAAATGGGAGAGCTGGCCTTATTTGAGCCAGAGGTGAGTGGAGTGTCAGGAGGAGAGATAAGGGGACTTTGCTGATGGAAGTGGATGGGAACAGTGGACGGTCTGAGAGCATGGGCAGGAGAGAGCAATCACGTCAAATTAGAAGGTGCATGGAGCCTTGTGGAAATGAGAGTCGAGGGGTCATCTAGGGGTGACCTTAGAGGTTTGACTCTGGCTCGGAGAGCCGGGATTCACACTCGGTTCCGCCTGGCTCCAGAGCTGCTAGCCCTCAACCTTACTTCTTTGTTTCCTTCACATCCACCTGGCTCTCTCGGTTCCCTTCTAGAGTAACTCACAAACTGTTTTCTCCATTTCATCATTATCTCCTCTTGGACTCTGCAGGTGCTTTTCCCAGATGACTCAGCCTCAGCCTCTTTACCACTAATGTACCGTCCACACTGTGATCAGAGTCATTGTAATAAACACAGGTTCTGGTCTTACATCTACTCCATTTAGAAAATATTTGGTGGCTCTCTGCTGTTCATAGAATAAAATCCAATCTTCGTAAAGTGGGTCTTTGAAGCCTTTCACAGCAGGTGCTCAGCAAATGTTCAGGGCCCTTGACAGCCTGGTCTCCAGGGTTCTTTCCCAGCCGTGCAGCTACTCTTCTTTCCTTCAGACGTAGTGCTTCAGCCACACGGGAGGATTCATTCTTCACATTCCCTCTGCCTCTGAAGCCTTCCCTGACCCCTGAAGCATGACCCCTCCCCGAAGTTTCCCTAGTTCCAGGGGCCTCCATTGCCCTTATCACACTGGGCAAATGAGTTGTTTTCTCGCCCTTCCCCCTCATGAGCTCTTTAAAAGCAGGTACCACATCTCATTCCTTTTTGAATATCCAGCCCCAGCTGCTGCCTGGCTCGATCCTTGTGAAGGCAAAGGACCCACTTTTGCTAAATGCCTCTGCCAGGCCCTGAGTGAGGCACGTGGTTGGAAGACACCATAGCAGAGCAGTTGAGAGCAGAGCCTTTGGAATAAGACCGAAGACAAATGAATGACCCCTCTGACCTACATTTTCCTCCTACGTAAAATGGTGATATCAAAAACACTGACCTTGTAGAGCTACTGGGGGGATTAAATAAGATCATTATTGCATGTAGAGGGTTTAGTACCATTTACTAGGTGTCTATTAGGCACGTAGTAAATGGTAGCCGAGTGTCTCATTTATCCATAAGGTAGAAGGACTCGAGGAGAGGCAATGAAGCGGGAAGGGAGATTTGAGGGTTAAGAGCCTGTATAATTGAGAGCATAGAGTGTGCTTTTAATGAAATTAGAGAGGGGGTTAGAGTGAAGAAGCACTTTTAGGAGGGAGAAGGTGATTTACTCAGTTTGGACCATGTGGAGTTTAAGTGATGAGCTATTAAGGGGTGCCATGCGGGTATTGAGGGCTGAGGTCAGGAAAGTTGTTGGAAATCCAAGCCTGGATCCCAGGAGAGAGGCCTAAGTTAACACTACGGATTTTGAGAATGTTGTAGATAC